AGTTTCCCTTTGAATATTCCTTAAATTTTATAAATACCTTTGAGTATTTCGAAAGCTCCATCAAAACGGTAACAATAGGTTAATAAGTGAAAGCATTTAGAAATATATTATAGATTAGAGTTTATTAAATACTGCAATAAGCTGGATGTAAAAAAAATGCCAAAAGATACAAATCTGTGTCAAATTCCTTCCACTGTTTATTGTAAATAGCTATGCAATCACATCGGAACTGACTATTGAACAAAGCAGAAGTTTTTTGAATCGCAATTGTCATTTTCGCCAATTCAACAAATATGTCAGCTAATATAGTAGTGCGAAATTCAACATTTTTACAGCTCGCTTTGCTGGACCAAGAATATTTCGCAATTGTTCAACATCAACCCAAAATTGATGATTATTAATAAGGTTCTTGACAGCATTAGCATGACTAAAAACTTGAGGCTCTTGTTCTAATACCTATTAGAAGCAAATTCAATAATGCAATTGTAAAGCATGAAGTATATTCACGAAGTATGATGCGATCACGTAGTGACATATGATCGTGTAGTAAAGTACGATTGTGTAGTGAAATACAATTGCGTAATGAGATTCGGTCATGTAGCGAAATATGATTGTGTAGCGAAGTATGATTGTGTGGTAAAATACAATTGCGTAGTGAGATAGGATCATGTAATACGATCACGTAGTGAGATACGATCACGTAATGAGATACAATTGCATAGTGAGATACAATTATATAGCAAAGTATGGTTGCGTAATGAAGTACGATCATGCAATGAAGTATAATTGTATAGCGAAGTACGATTGTGTAGCAAAATATAATTGCGTAATGAGATATGATCACATAATATGGTCACGTAGTGATTACGTAGTGAGATACAATTGTGTAGCGAAGTACAATCACACATAATGAAGTACAATTGTGTAATGAGATACAGTCATGTAGTAATGAAGTACAATCGTGTAATGAAGTATAATTATGTGCGAAGTACGATTGTGTAGCAAAATATAATTGCGTAGCGAGATACAATCACGTAATATGATCGCGTAGTGAGATAATGAGATACAATTGCGTAGTGAGATACAATTGTGTAGCAAAGTACAGTCACGTAATGAAGTAATATGGTCGCGTAGTGATGAGATACGATTGCGTAGTGAGGTACAATTATGTAGTGAAGTACAATCACGTAATAAAGATAAAGTACGATCACGCAACGTATAACTGTGCAACGAAGTATAATTGTGTAGTGAACATAATGAAGTACGATTATATCGTAACGAAGTACGATTGTGGTGAAATACGATTGTGTAATAAAATATAATCGCGCAATGAAGTACGATTTGTGGCGAAGTGCGATCGAGCAAAATATGACCATGCAAAAATGTTCAGAAGTAGAATAATATTATGAAGTGGGAATATAATGAAAAACCATTTAGATAAAATATATGATTTGATTCAATGATAGGATTACAAAACTTACCAATCTAATGTTTGCTTCATTACGCAATATGGATTCACAAGAGTCCCATGCTGTTGACCACCATGTCTTGGTTGTTGACTTTAAATTCCCATCAACAATAAAGGAATATATAATTTCATCTCTGAGGGCAGCACCAGCTGAGTAAGAATTTCTAAAAAAACTTACAATTGTTTGGCAATTAGAGAGAATCTGTTTTGCATGAGGAAGATTGCAAATACTACTAGAAATTAATTGAATATGATGCGCAATGCATCGTATTGGTAAAATGTATAAATATTTCATCGCAACTTAACGTTTAGCTATCATTATAGCAGATTCTGCATCCAATACCACTGCTATAAATTTTTCAGGTCTGACTTTTTCCAACACTTCTATTATTTTTTCAGCATTGAAGCTTGCTGTATGTGAGAATCTTGAAAAATCTTGCAAAGAGTAAATATATTGTTTCCTTTCATTTGTCATTATAACGAAAGCATATATGCTATGTTTCAATGGACTACTCCAACCATCAATACACAACGTAAAATTTTTAGCCTTTGATAATTCTTTTTTCATCTTTAGTATAATGTTCACCATTTCTGTATCCAAAATTGAAGTTGTTAATGCACTGCGCTTGGGTGAATTATATTCAAAGTTCAATAACTTGGTATAATCTTCGAAATAAGGAGAATCAACAGATGAAAAGGGAATATCCAAACTCACAATCCACTTGATTAATGCTTTGTTGGCCATTGCTTCTTTAGCTTGATCGATGCTCGCCGTTGTATTATAATATGCATCTAAAGATAAAGATTGACTAGGTTTTCTTTTTTTTGATGTAGACGATCCAGAAAATCCA